AATTTATTTGCGTAAGTGTAAAAATATGAGAAAATAAATTTACAACTCTATCTTTGAAACTCATTTTTAATATTTCATTTTCCTCCTTTACTGCAGCTAAGCATTTTTTAGTTTCCTCAAGTTCTTGTTCAATACTAAAATAAATGTTTTGAATTATAAATAAGAATTCCATTAAATATAGACAAGTATACGATACAGTAAAAGACACAATGTCATATTAGAACTTGGAATACAAACATAAATCTACATTAAATTCATCTTGATGTTACCTTTTCCTATTACCAATTATATTTATGGATTCATTTGACTTAAAATTGTCCATGAGAGATCTGCTAATTTTGTTCTTTCTCGTCTCTATATCAACATGTACCTAAATTAAAGATAAATATGTATACATGCATATATTTGCATGTTAATGCATATAATGGTATAAATGTCTACCTCTAACGGCTCTAACGTATCTTCAGGTTCATGGTCACTAATAGTAGACAATCCTATCTCAGACATATCTTCAGGTTCATTTACCGCAACACTTTCATCATCCTGACTATGTACAGTTTTCTATAATATTGTATATTATATAGTTATAAAATAAATATGACAATAAATAATATTAATTCCCTTTAAAATACTTGCCTTGCACGGAGTTAAATATTTAGTTGGTACAGCACTCGGCTTAAGTTTTCGTTTATTACTGGGTGAATACTTAAAACAACCCAACTTTGTTTGTAACTGATTAGGAGTGAAGTGTTTTGAACATATTCGCGCTATAATATTTATACTTTATTATAATACAAAATAAGCGAAGACATAACAAATTGTAAAATATTTCTTTTCTTTGATGTTATATTGTATTATTGTTTCAAAACTTATATTATTACCGCATTGCTGTATTGGTGTTGTGTATTATCTTACAAATAAATAACTTAACATTATACCTAYCATCTTTTATTTGACCATCTTTCTTGCCAACAAGTATCTAACCACTTTTTCCTTACTTTAGGAGATTTGGGTAACCTGTAATAACTTATGTCCTTAAGACCTAGGTCTTCTGCATGAGTTGTTTGAACAACTTGGTACCATACAGTTTGGCATTTTCAATAAAATTTGGTTTCAAAAGACAAAAATAAAACAAWCTATATATCATAAAAATTCAAGTTTTTATTGTTCATCGTAAAAAAGACAACATAAAATGTACAGAATAATATTAAGTACAAAACAAAGTATAAACAAATTTAATATCATTAAAGTTATAAATAAACCATTACCCATATATATCTATATACCCATATTTACATAGATTTATTAGAGTGGCCAATTATGAAATACAAAAATTAATTTTTTTTAAATGTATAGTTAATGTATAAGTTTTGTACAATTCAAAATACACCGGGATTTCATTCTTCCATGCATTTTAGCGTTTATTCCAAGTCTGGGGAACATTTCATGCGCAGTGTTATCGGGCTGACATGCCTGTTTATTTAGTCATGGTACATCGAATGATAAATTTCTGTAACTTTATAAAGGTTTCCTCACACTGCAGCTGTAGCGGTAACGGTTACGGCAAATTTATTAAGCTGGACACAATTTTACCGCCACCGCTGCAGTGTGTGGCGACCTCAAAGAATGTTAAGCTTTTTATAGATGATAAGGCAAAATTAAAATTGTGTATTCTTCATAAGAGCCAATTTTTATGTATATATTGATACTTGATAGATATGTTTAAAATGATGTAAACTGTACTATATTACCCTTATTCGCGGGCTATTAACTATTTATTCAATAATAAATAAATAAATAAATACAATTATATCATCGTCGAATAAAATGACAATATCTTAAGTATATTTGTATTTTATACTTATAATTTAATGAAGTTCAACTGATCAAGTGGGGAACTAGAAAAGACTGTGGGTGATTGTCACAATTTTAAGACTATTTATTTTTTAAATAAAATGTTCACTTGTCATTATATATAATAGGTACGGCGAATAGGTAAATATTAATTATTAGAATACCTTATATTCTAGGCTGGGCATTAATGCGTTAAAAATTAAAATCAAGTTAATATTAATSAAATTAAATAACACTACTTTTTTTTTCAAACTATAATAATGTTTAATAATTAACGTATTTAACGTGTTAATTTTTACACATTTATAAATATTAAGTTAAACTTTTATTTGTACCTATATTAATATCATTTATTTATAATTTTTTTGTTTTATGAGATTATTATAGGTACCTATCATAATTTATAGAAATGTCCGAAAATAATATACATGAAATTACGAATTATTAGTTATTGTGATTATTTAAACTGATATAATAATAATATGGCTATATACTATATACTACACTCAACGCCACGACTACGGTGCAGGGTACTGATATACAGGCACGGTTGGTTCTACAGCGCGACTGGGGTGTGGAATACGAAAGATTAGACGGTGCRCGATTTAGTCGGTAGTCACATAAAATCAGGTGTTCTCAAATTATGGGCAGCGTATGACGCGTCGGTTTTGTGGCGCGATGGCGACGCATTAGACTAACACGAACGATTAGATCGTTGGCAAAGCGCCTAGTATAATATGCAAAAACATATTCTACGACGCATAGAGTATAATATGCACACTTACGGATAGGACGACTACAGACGACAGGCGGAGATAAATAGCGACTATTACAGTGTTTTCCRCCACACTGCACTGGCTGCATTAGTGCATATACTGTAGATTCTTGTTATGTCAAATCTAGTTGAGTTATCTAATGCATATTCGTTTGCTTTTTCAAGTAAAATTGTTCCATTTAATGGTATGTTTTTTATCTCGACACTGAGTAAACCATTTTAGCAAACATCTATCAATGTCCAAATAAGGAGTCATCCTCRTTTTTTTCATATTTCCAAAGTTGAACTTCATCATTATTTTCTCTTTCTGTTTAATAATTGACGATAATTTATTTGATGAAATATTGAATTCATTGGCAGTTTYACATTTTTTACGATATCCTTTTTCAACTAACTGTATTAAACGAACTTTGTCCGAAATTGAAAGAACATTTAATTTACGCTTCATTTCCATTTCACTACAAACAAACAAATGAACTACGAACGACTACAAACGTGACTACCAACGCGCTAAATCACAATCGCTATACTGAATATACTGCACAATCCCTGTTTTAACCGTAATTAAAATATTATTTGTGAACTCGAGATAACGAAAAACTATTAATTTTAGATCGAGTTATCGAGAGTAAGACACTATTAAGTGTAATAGTAGTGACAAGGGGAATTCAAAGTAATTCGAGATAGCGACGTTCGACATCTTAAAAATCTACTGTCATATTTATGTTCCATCTGCAAAATTAATGTGCACCGAGTGGACTTTTTATGTTTCAACTCATTGCACTACACCAATTTTTTGCACCCAGTGAAATGATAATCACGTGAGCTATTATTAATGTTATTAGTATGATATGTACCACAATACCCGTTAAATATTTCATTATCTTTGTACATCAGATATCAATATGGATTTTATGCTTAATCTACATTTGCACCAGATCGCACAAGGACGATAATCAGTGAATTGTGACCCTGCCATCTTGATGCAGTAGTGTGGTATGGTGGAAAGCACTATAATGCCCGGTTACACAAACTACCAATAGTTATCGAACCATTAACTAAGTTATCGAATC